CAGCCTGGTCCCAATGGGCTTCAGTGGACCCCTACCCTGTGCTGAGCCAGCAAGTCTTGCCCTTACTGACAGTGTTGGTGGCTCCCACTCTTCCTTTTCCAGCTACAGAGCAGCTGTGAGCCCTGGGGGCTGCCCAGCACCACCAGCGAGATGGGGGTGGAAGCTGGGATTCTCCCACTTGGGGTGCAGGTTAGGGTTACCCCTCCCCTACCTGCCTCCCTTAGTGGGGACCTTGCTGCTTTCAACTCCAGATCCTTGAGGACTACCTGCTGGTGGGAGATGCACCTCTGCTGGAGGAGATGGCTGAGGAGGATGAAGAGCTTGACCTGTACAATGAGATGACTTTTGGGTTAGGTAAGATCTCAGGGGAGCCTCAGGGTCAGGACCATCAGCCAGCACCCAAGAGGGTGAGGAGGATGGGGGTGGGAGCGGTGAGGAAGTTGTCCTCCTGCCTGACGAGGAGCTGGGTTGGGAGATAGGACCCCAGTGGGCACTGCCTAGGCTATCACTCACCCTGACATGCTCTCCTTCCCCCCTCCAAGACCGAGACTCCACTGAGGAGGATGCCACAAAACCTCTGATGCCTGCTGAGATGAGCCTTGAGCTGGCAGAAGTGGTGGCAGAGGAGACTGAGGAGGAACTGGGGTCTGGAGCAGCTGAGCAGCTGGAAGAGCCCCAGGAGGAAGGTGGGATGGAGCCAGAGGTTGAGCAGGATGGCTCTGAGTTGGAGGAAGAGGAGGAGGAGCTGGGGGCTGAGGAACAGGAGAAGGATGAGGAGCCCTGCGAGGAGCCCAACGACCTGGGAGACCCGGCAGTGATGAGAGCCGTGCAGAGCAAACCCACACTGGAGGTGACGTGTGAGCGGGGAGGGAGGGGACCCATGCCTGGTTGGCATGGAGATGAGCTTGTGGGATCCCACTGCTCTCCACTCCTTCCCCACACTTGTGGGTCCTGCCCCATGGAGGGCACCAGGGGGGTGGCTTGGTCCCTGCCCAAGGGAGGAAGACCTGCCATGCTGGAGCTGAGTATGTGCCAGTAACCTTTTCTTTGCCCGCAGAGCCAGGACTCTGCGGTGCTGGACAGCAGGATTGGTGCTTGCTGGGCAGAGTTTGGCAAAGAGGACATGGTAAAAATGTCCACCCTCCCGATCTGGTGATGAGGCTGAGTGGCCTCTGAGATGTCCTCTGCCCTTCTCCTCCTGTCCTCCTTCCCCTTGCTGACTGTCTCCCTGTCTTCCAGCTGGCGATGGATCCTGTGGTGTGGGGCTCCTGCCCTGGCAGCATCCCACCCCACCACGTGCTGGAGGTGGGTACCCCTGACCAGGCCCTTGGGGAGCGGCTGAGGGCTCCCTGGTACCCTGGGCCAAGGGTCATGCAGGTGATGTGGGGTGACCAGGAGACCTCTGAAGCCTCATTGAGGGTCAGGATGTGCAGGGACATGTCTCTTGGGTGCCAAGGCTGTGGGCAGATGTGCCCGCCCTAAGCAGAGCCTGGATTTGAAGGCAGAGCTGTTGAGTTGGGGGGGGGACCGGGACCCCCACGCCAGGTGTCCCCGTGGCTCCCATACTGTTGCACACCACCAGGATGGGAGCCTGGCTGGTGCATGGTCTGGTTGAACAACCACCCAAGGTGTTGGTGAGTTGCTTGATGCTGGGGGAGCTTAATTGATGCCAGGTGGGTGCCATTCCTATCTCCTGCTGGCTCCTCCCCACAGGATAAAGCCATCCTCCAGGTCCTGGAGAGGCCCCCACCATCCACCAACATGGCCCTTGACTTCCTCAGCTCCCCCGTGCAGAGGGGCTACGGGGGCTCTCCCCGGCTCAAGCGCCCTGACTTAAGGCTGATGTCCCCCAAGTCATTCCCCCAGCGCTTTCTCCAGCAGGTAACAGCTTTTGGGGGGGCCCTCCCTCCCTCTCCGGGGGTGCAGCCTTGAGGACGGGCTTGTCCCATTGATGTCTCCCATCTCCTGCCTTGCAGCAGTCGCCTCTGGTGCCTCACTCCCCGTGCTCCCCTCGGCCCTTCCCGCCGACTCGCAGACCCTCGCCGCTCTTCGCTTCTAACCAGGTAACGCAGCGGGCCGCAAGCCACCACCGTGTGCCCTCTGAGGTGGCCCTGGAGTGGCTGGGGATGGGGATGGTGCCTCCTCAGAGCTCTGCCCTCTGGGGCAGACTTTGCAGCTCTGTCTGACCCTGAGCACCCATCTCCGGCATCTTGCTGACAGGGATGTCCCCATGGGTCCTGCACTGGGCATGATGTTCTGCTTGGTGTCACGCTGGGACATTGGTGATAGACTTGGGGAACGCAATCCGTCGTGCCACCCGTGTCCCTTTGCCTTGTCCAGCTGTAGTGGCAGGATTGTGGGGGGTATCTTCTCGCTGCAGTGCCCCCCACATCCCCTCTGTGCTGGGAGAGAGTGGCCCCTGTGATGACAGGAGCAAGAGGCTGGCATGAAGCTGGCAGACCCCTCTGGGACCCTCGGAGGGGAAAGCTCAGGCACTTGATTGCTTCTCTCTTCCTCTCCAGACTGCAGGGTACGCGTCTCCGACCCCTTTCCAGCCCATGTCACCCAACGTCGGCAGCCCGCCGCGGCCTCTCGCCATGCACTTCGGCCCCATGTCTCCCTCTTTGGACCCCGCGCTCTTCTTCAGCCCATCGGCCAGCGGCCAGCTGAGCCTCAGGTTAGTGGGAGCAGGGTGCCCAGGTGGGACCAGATGAGCTGGGGGGTGTCCCTGCTCTGGGGACAGCTCTAGCGTGGGTGCTGAGCCCCTGTCTCCCCTCTGGTCTCCCCCGTAGTGCTCCCAGCCATATGACCCAGCTGCACCCCCAACACCAGCGGATCCTGACCCAGCGGCAGCAGCAAGGAGAGCAGGCGCAGAAGTAAGGGGGTCCCGGGTCCCCGAGGAGCTGCGGGCTGGGGGGGAGGGAGCTCTGGGCAGTCACAACAGGTTGTGATCTTCTCCTGTGCCAGCATCTCCCCCAAGAAGCTATGGTCTCCTAAAGTGGACCCTTACGCTGGGCTGATGACTTCCAAGGAGAAAGACTGGGTCGTCAAGGTGGAGATGATCCAGCTGCAGAGTGAGAACATGGATGATGACTACTACTACCAGGTGAGCTCCTGCTGGCAGCACCAGGAGCTCGTTCTGCTCCTCAGGGCTGGGACTTCATCTTTTTGAGAGCTGGAGGGTGCCCAGGCCGATGGTGCCTCCCCTCCTGGCTATGCCCGTCCTTACAGACGTACTACCACCGGCTGGAGCGCAAACAGGCCGAGGAGGAGCTGCTCGGTGGGCGCAACAAGCAGGAACCCCCCAAGCTGGTCACGCCGTTCATCCAGAAAGTGGAGACGTACGATTCCGGTGAGGGGGCAGCCGGAGGGTGGCTGGACGAGAGGTTGCAGGACATGATCTCACCATGGTCTGTCTCTTCCAGTGGTGCGCATCGCGGGCTCGCTGGGCCAGGTTGCGGTGTCCACCTGCTACAGCCCTCGCCGGGCCATCGATGCTGTGCACCATGCCCTTGTGGAAGAGGTAGGTGAGGGGAAGTCAGGCTGGTTGGTGCCCCGGATGCCCAGGGACACCTTTCCGAGCTTTCTCCAGGCTCTGGTGCAGCTTTAGCAAGAGCTGTAGGAACTGCTGTGACCGAGCATGGGTGCCACCCTGGCTCTGGGTGCTGCCCTGAGCCACGGGATGGAGCAAGTGCCACCTCGGTGGTGGCAGCTTGTCCCCTGCTGAGGGGTGGGATGGTGCTCTGGGCAGTCAGAGCTGGCTGTGGCCTCCCCGTGGGATCTCTCTGTATCCTGAAGCTTCTGATCCCCAGGGAGCAGCTGGCCCAGCGCCCCGGCGGCGGTGGCTGGTGCTGGCTGTAACTGTTGTGTCTTCCGTTGTCCCCTCCTGAAGGCTGCGGGGAGCCACCGGCTTCGGGCGCTGCACAGGATCGAGAAGGTGAGCGAGCCGTCGGGGCACGGTGGGATGATGCAGATGTTTCGTCTTCATCCGAGAAGCTCTGCGAGGGGATGTCTGCCTGGGCAAAGCTCCTGGATAACTGGCAGGCAGAGAATGCCCCGAGCTGCCTCCTTACCCTGTGTGGTTTCTCCAGCTCTTCCTGCAGCTGCTGGAAGTGGAGGAGACGCAGCGGAAGGTGTCTCTGGCCCTGGAGGAGCAGCAGCCCTGCTGCCAGGACCAGAAGAGCCAAGAAGTGAAGCGGATCTACCAAGCCTTGAAAATCAGGGCTTGCAGCGGCGAAGAGTGAGTTTGTCCTGCGGGGAGAGGGCAGCGGGTGGCCAGTCCTGGCCCTCATGGGGCTCAGATTCTCATGGAGGAGTAGTTTTGGGTGACGGCAAGGGTTGGAGCCTGTCCTCTGCATGTCACCGTGGCCTGTGCTGACCCTGCCCGTGAGCCTTGTCCTCCACTGGCGCCAATGCTGGTCCTTCTGGATGGACAGAGATGCTGCAGGTCCCTTGGGATCTGTGCCAATGGAGCCTTCGTCCCCAGGGAGGCAGAGGATGAATTCCTGCAACTCCTGTGCGTGCGGAAGGGCAAGAAGCTCATGGCTCGGCTGCTGCCCCACCTGACCCGGGAGCAAGCGGAGAAGATCCTGCTGACCATCACCCACCACCTGCCCTTCCTCATGAAGAAGGACATGTTGGACGAGGCGAGCACCTCCAGCCAGGGCAGGGGCATCCCGGGCTGCCTCCTTTCCCCTGTTGCTCTTGCTGAGGGGGGGACACCCTGGGCAACGAAGTGGGGGCCCATCTTGCTGGGTCCCAGCATGGTCAGGCAGCTGGTGGGGTTGACATGAGATGGGAGCCTCTTTCCTTCCCTAGGGAGGAGGAAAAAGGTCTCCAGGAGGGGTTAAAGCAGTCCTGGTGGCTATCTCCTCCCAGAGGGGGGTACAATGTTGGCCCTCCTGTGTGTCCCCTCAGGTGTTGGGATGGGGCTCAGGGATGAGACTGGCCGTGACTGGTCGAATGGTCTCAGATCCCTCCTCTCCCCTCTGCCCTGCCCAGTCTCTCCCCCTGCTCTACAGCCCGTTGAACAAGGTGGTGGGCACCATGACCTTCAGCAAGCTCATTGAGGTGCTGCAGGAGATGGCCAGGCCTCTGCCCGAGTCCCCTGAGCTCCCCCTTGCCATGGCCTTGAAAAACCAGGTAGGTGGCCCCAAAGAGGGCAGAGCCATGCGGTGTCCCCAGGGTGCCACCACTGCTGAGCTGCCCGTGATGCTCTTCCCGGTTCTTCCCTGCAGTTTGGGATCTCCCTGCTCTACTCCCTGCTGAGCCACGGCGAGAGGCTGCTGTCCTCCGATGTGCCGCTGGAGCCACGCGGTGGGGACTTCGAGACGTGGTATGGCGCCGTTCGCCGGTGGGGGGGTGCCCCCCCCTGCCGGGTCGGTGCCCCCCAGGACGGACACGGTGTTTCTGGTTGCCCGGGAGCTGTCGCAAGTGCCCAAGGCCTTGCTGGTGGAGCCTCTCTTCTTGCCCAGCAACCTTCTCTCGCTCTTCTGCCGCTACCTGGACAAGCAGACTGTCCACCACCTGGAAACCAAGATGGAGTGAGTACTGCCTGGCACGGCTCCCTTCCTTTCCTTGGGGTTCTCCTTTCCTTGGGGTTCTCCTTTCCTTGGGGTTCTCCTTTCCTTGGGGTTCTCCTTTCCTTGGGGTTCTCCTTTCCTTGGGGTTCTCCTTTCCTTGGGGTTCTCCTTTCCTTGGGGTTCTCCTTTCCTTGGGGTTCTCCTTTCCTTGGGGTTCTCCTTTCCTTGGGGTTCTCCTTTCCTTGGGGTTCTCCTTTCCTTGGGGTTCTCCTTTCCTTGGGGTTCTCCTTTCCTTGGGGTTCTCCTTTCCTTGGGGTTCTCCTTTCCTTGGGAGAGGAGCAGCAGGACGGCATCAGGAGCTCACAGCACTGTCCCCTGGGGGACCAGCCCGTTGGACACGAGTCTCCAAACCTCCACCCGGCTGAGCTGATCCTTGTAACTTTACTCTTCCTTAGAGACCTCGGGGCTGTCCGGGTTGGCGCTGGGTTTTGTGTTTGCGTCAGGCTCCCAGTGCACCTGATGGCCCATCCCTGTGGGATGAATCAAAGTGGGGGGCAGAAAACTGAGGGGAAGCCCCTCGGCAATTCAACCAGCAGCTCTAGGGCACCGTGGGTGGTTGGGCAGGTTACCAGCAGCCCGAGCGTGCCAACCTGATGCTCCCACCTTGTCCTTTCCCCGCAGGTGCTCCCCGCTGCCGTCGGAGGCTGCCATGCCGTGCTGAACCCCAGGAGATGGGGATGGGAGCCAGGGCCCGCGGTGCTGGGAACGGGCAGGGCCCGATGCCATGACTTTTTGAGTTTCGAAGCCAACGCTTCCCCTGGTGCAGGGCACTCTGGGTGGACTGGGCACTGGCAGGGCCAGTGCTTGAGGGCTGTCGCCGACCTGCCCCAGTGCCCGGGAGCACAGCACGGGGAGGCGGGTAACTTATTTTGGCCTCGTGCCCCGCGGCGGCGAGCGCCGGAACGCGGCGGGTGTCGAGGTGGGGTCTGCACAGGGGTGCCGGGAGCACCTGGGGGTGAGTGACTTTGTGTACAGCACTTGGAATAAAATAAAAAAGGTGATTAACGAGCTCCTCCGGCTCCTGTGGGCAGCTTCCGCTGTAAGCGTAGGGCTCTCGGAGGCATCACGTGGGCATGGAGACACCTGGCTGGGGATGGTGGGGATCAAAGCGTGAGGAAGGAGGGGGGGATGCACAGAGGACCCAGGAGGAGGGTAAAGGGGGATGGAGGAGAAGATGCAACATGCTCAGAAGGGAGCAGAGGGGATCAGAGGACCCATGCAACAGGGGATAGGGGGGAGTTGAGCCTCCAGGGAGAAGAATGGACAGGAAGAAAGTGGGAATGGTGGAGATGATCAGGCCAGAGAAGGGGAAAGGAAATATCTGTGCATGGAGGAGAGCACTCATGGGGGGCTCTTAAACACACACGGGTGGGTATAGAGCACCTCTCCTCTCTGCTGAGCTCTCAAAGGTGAATTAGTCTAAAGACATGGTCATGATGAAGTACCTTGAAGCATCTTGAGCTGCTTTAACTGACCATGACTGCCCCAAGCTGACCCTCGGTTCCATATCTGAGGGTGAGGGTGTGCTTAGGTGTGACGTTCTGGTCTCGCTGTAAAAATCTTTGTGGCTCCCCCCC